GTTGTTGCATCTAGATGGCAGCTTCCTAACTTTTAAGGTCCCAGTCGCTGAGAGGAGTACATTTTGAAAACACTTAATCTGTGGAGACAGCAGGGTGGACACATGGAGTTGTCTGGATGGCAGGGAGGTAACAGGCTGGGCTGAATGTGTGGTTTTGAGATACCTCAAGGGATCTCAAAGGTAATGGCTGAAGTTGTGAGATGATGAACTCCTTAGTGATGCCAGCAGGACAGCCAAGGATGGACTCTTGAGGGAGACCAGGAGTTAGGAGATAAGAGAGGGAAGGAAGGTCAGCAGAGGATGGATTAGCCTGGAGGCAAGAAGAGGGTCAGGAAGATGCAATGTCACAGGGGCAAAGGGGTGAGCTTCAAGAAGATAAGGTTGTTGTTAGGTGCTGTCGAGTCATCTCTGACTCATAGTGACCCCATGCACAGCAGAACAAAACACTGAACAGTCCTGTGCCTGATCCTTCCTATACCTGAGCCCATTGTTGTAGCCACCGTGTCGATCCACCTTGTTGAGGGCCTTCGCCTCTTTCGTTGACCCTCCATTTTACCAAACATGATATCATTCTCCAGGGAATGGTTCCTTCTTACAATATGACCAAAGTAGGTGAGATAAAGTCTGGCCATTGTTGCTTCCAGGGAGCAGTCCGGCTGCACTTCCTCCAGGACAGATTTGTTAGTTCATTTAGGAGACCATGGTACTTTCAGCATTCTTTGCCAGCACCACAACTCAAAAGCATCAACTCTTGTTCAGTCTTCCTTATTCATTGTCCAGCTCTCACATGCATATGAGGTGATTGAAAATACCATGGCTTGTGTCAGGCGCACCTTAGTCCTCAAGGAGACATCTTTGCTCTTCAGCACTTGAAAGAGATCTTTTGCAGCAGATTTGCTCAGTGCTATATACATCATCTGATATCTTGACTACTGCTTCCATTGGCATTGATTGTAGAACCAAGTAATATGAAGTCTTCAACAACTTCAGTCTTTTCTCCATTTATCGTGATGCTGCTTATAGGTCCAGTTGTGAGGATTTTTGTTTTCTTTATATTGAGGTATAATCCATACTGCAGACCGTATTCTTCAATCTTCATCAGTAAGTGCTTCAAGTCATCCTAACTTTCAGCAAGCAAACTTGTGTTGTCAGCATATTGCAGGTTGTTAATGATTCTTCCTCCAATCCATGTTCTTCTTCACATAGTGCAGCTTCTTGGATTATTTGCTCAGCATACAGATTGAATAAGTATGGTGAAAGGATACAACCCTGACACACTCCCTTCTTGATTTTAAACCATGCAGTGCCCCCTTGTTCTGTTTGAACAATAGCCTCCTGGTCTATGTACAGGTTCCTCATGAGTACAATGAAGTGTTCTGGAATTCCTATTCTTCTCATTGTTATCTGTAATTTGTTATGATCCACACAATCAAATACTTTTGCATAGTCAATAAAACACAAGTAGACATCTTTCTGGTATTCTTTGCTTTGAGCCAAGATCCATCTGACATCAGCAATGATATCCCTTTTCCAAGTCCTCTTCTGAATCCAGCTTGCATTTCTGGAAGCTCTGTCAATATACTGCTGCAACCGTCTTTGAATTATCTTCAGTAAGATTTTAGTTGTGTGCGATGTTGATGATGTTGTTTGATAATTTCCACATTCTGTGGGATCACCTTTCTTTGGATTGGGTACAAATATGGATCTCTTCTAGTCAGTTGGCCAGGTAGCTGTCTTCCAAATCTCCTGGCATAGCCAAGTGAGTGCCTCCAGTGGGGCATCCATTTGTTGAAACAGATCAGTGGGTCTTCCATCAATTTCTGGAGCCATGTTCTTTGCCAATTCCTTCAGTGCAGCTTTGATTTCTTCTTTCTGTACCATTGGTTCTTGATCATATGCCACCTCCTGAAATGGATGAACATCAACCAATTCTTTTTTGGTACAGTGACTCTGTGTATTCCTTCCATCTTCTTTTGATATTTCCTGCATCTTCAATACTTTTCCCATAGAATCTTTCAATAGTGCAAGTCGAGGCTTAAATTTTTTCTTCAGTTCTTTCAGCTTGAGAAATGCAGAGCATGTTCTTCCCTTTTGGTTTTCTAACTCCAGGTTTTTGCACATTTCATTATAATAATTGGCTTTTATCTTCTTGAGCTGCTCTGTGAAATCATCTGTTCACCTCTTTTACCTTGTCATTTCTTCCATTTGCTTTAGCTACTCACCTTTCAAAGTCAAGTTTCAAAATCTCTTCTGACATCCATTTTGGTCTTTTCTTTCTTTCCTGTCTTTTTAATGATCTTTTGCTTTCTTCATACATGATGTTCTTGATGTCATCCCACAATTCCTCTGGTTATCAGTCATTGTTCAATGCATCAAATCTAGTCTTTAGATGGTCTCTAAATTTAAGACGGAGATATTCAAGCTCATATTTTGGCTCTCATGGACTTGGTTTAATTGTCTTCAACTTCAACTTGAACTTGCCTATGAGCAGTTGATGGTCTGTTTCACAATCAGCTCTTGGCCTTGTTTTGGCTGAAGATATTGAGCTTTTCTATCACCTTTTGCCACAGATGTAGTCAATCTGATTCTTGTGTACTCCCTAGGAATACATGTGTATAGCCACCATCTGTGTTGTTGAAAAAAAGGTATTTGCAATGAAGAAGTCATTGGTCTTGAAAAATTCTATCATGAGATCTCCAGAGTTATTTCTATCACCAAGGCCAAATTTTCTGTCTACCAGTGATTCTTCTTTGTTTCCAATTTTTGTGTTCCAATCACCAGTGAGAATCAGCACATCTTGATTGCATATTTGGTCAATTTCAGACTGCAGAAGTTGGTAAAAATCTTCAACTTCCTCATCTTTGGCTTTGGTGTGCATAAATTTGAATAATAGTAGTATTAACTGGCCTTCCTTATAGGGGTATGGGTATTATCCTATCACTGATGGCATTGTACTTCAGGACAGCTCTTGAAACATTCTTTGTGATAATGAATGGCATGCCATTCCTCTTCAATTTGTCATTCCCAGCATAGTATATCATACACTTGTCTGATTTATAATGTCCCAAACTGGTCCACTTTAGCTCACTAATGCCTAGGATATCAATCTTCTATTTAATTTTTGACAACTTCCAATTTTCCTAAACTCATACTCCATACATTCCATGTTCTGTTTATTAATGGATGTTTGCAGCTGTTTCTCCTCAGTTTGAGTGGTGCCATATCAGTAAATGGAGGTCCTGAAAGCTTTACTTTATCCATATGATTATGGTCGGTTCTACTCTGATGAGGCAGCTCTTTCCCAGTCATATTTTGAGTGACTTCCAACCTAAGGGGCTCATCTTCCAGCAGTGTATTGGATAATGTTTCATGGCTATTCATAAAGTTGTCCAATAATGTATCAGATAGTGTTTCTCTGCTATTCATAAGATTTTCCCTGGACATTTGTTTGAGAAGTGGATGGCCTCTTCCTTCTGAGTCTGTCTCAGTCTGGAAGCTCCACTGCAACCTGTCCACCATGTGAAACCCGGCTGGCATTTGGAACACTGGTAGCACAGCATCCAGCCTCACAGCAACACACAAGCCACCACAGTATGACAAACTGGCAGACAAGTTCATCTCCCTTAGCTGTTCCAAACCTCTTTGCCCTGCCCTCACCTGGATCTAGCTGTCCTCAGCCTTGGCTTCCTGCTTCCTGCCTTGCATGAGGGCTCTCTCCCACCCCTTACCTGGATCCAGCTGTTGTTAGCCCTGCTTTCTGCTTTGGGTGGGGGCTCTCTCCCTCCCCTTACCTGGATGGTAAGGCCCAGCAGATTCTTCCAAAGATGCTCATGTATATGAGGCAAAATAAACCCTTGCAAGAGGAAAAGGCAGTTGAGAACTGAGAAAAGGCCATGAAAATTGTCCAGAAAGGTCTTCAGCAACTTATTCCCTTAATATTTTCTTGCTGATTTATGTCTTGACAAACTCTGGGCTTACTAATGAACCTCAAACTTCCAAATTAAACTGCCAAGTGCTCTTCCTTCCTAAACATGAAAAGCTTTAGAAAATGTATGAAAATTCATATGCTGCTGTTATAACTTTGCTGGAATTTGATTGGATATTATATATCAAAAACCTTTTGCTGTATGTTATGTGCCTTTTCATTCCCACCAAGTTATTTTAAGAATACAATCAGAGATTTGCACAAATATTTTAATACATGAGGATGTCATCACAGAATTACTAACAGCTGCAAAAAATTAGAATCAATGTAAATTACAACACAGGGGATTCCCTATTGAAAGGGAATAATAGCAGTTGTTAGGATCATGTTTTTGGAAATTATTTTTATATAGAAAATGCCATGATATAGTAGTAAGTGAATAAGATAGAATATAAAAATATGTGCTGTGTGATCCCAGTTTTGTTAAGGAAAGTATAAATGTAGATGTGTGTATGTGTGTGTGTGTGTGTGTGTAGGGGGATACAGCTAGTAAAAATCAGTCTCTTTGTAATTATTTTGCAAAGCTGGTAAATGATATTTTTAAAGTGAGAGAGAAAGCAATTAATGGATAGGAAGTAGAGATTGCTGATGTAGACCAGAGCTTCTCAAACTATCTCTAGTGAGGGTCATGTTTTTAAAATTTCATTACAGCATGGACAAGTATGTGATCTTACTGGACATGACTAGTACACAGTTCATACCTCATGGAACTTACCACAGCTGTTCAATATTATCTGAACTCATCTTTAGGCTTCAATGTGATGAGTTCATTGATCATGCATTTGGATGTTACAGCCATATCACATTGCTCTAAGAGCTTCTGAACACTTACTTGCAATTGCTGTGCTTGTTTTATCATAGACCAGTAATAAACAGATCACAAAGTGGCAGTGGTCTGTGGACCAAATTTTGCGTAACGTCAATATAGACGCCATGTTTGTAGCAGGTGGCAGCAAAGAGGTGTGATTGGGCAGTAAAGCCAACCCATGTGTTGGGAAATGGCTTTTGCTTATGGAGAGCTGAGGTTCTCTTATTTGGTTCCTAGAGCTAAGACTCTGCATGGTTTATCTCATCATGTTTTATCCAGGCTGCTCTCAGCTGCACTTTGTTGTCTCTGCCTCTGTCATGCAGGTTACGGGCTGGAAGTGGACATGTGGGCTGCAGGCGTGATCCTCTACATCCTACTTTGTGGCTTCCCCCCATTCCGCAGCCCAGAGAAGGACCAGGATGAGCTCTTTAACATCATACAGCTGGGACACTTTGAGTTCCTCACCCCTTATTGGGACAATATCTCAGAAGGTAAGATTTGGAGCTTCCATACAAGCAGGAGGGGGAAGGGCCTCTCCTGAGTTCTGAGGGCAAAACTGACATTTTCAGGTCAGATATGAAATAAGGCAGGCAAATAGTGTGCCCACCATAGTACCTGGCAGGTAGAGAGGCTGTCAGCCTTTTGTACCTCATCCTATATTTCCTCAATAACCCATTGCTGTCTATTTGATTCCAAGAGCTGCATGTATATTTATGTAGCAGTCTGAGAACATGACTTGGTTTGAGATTTAATGAAAAGTCTCACCACCGATTGAAGTCACCAAATGCTTTTCCTTAATGCAGTTAAAGAACTTCAGAAGGGAAAAATACCAGCAACATATACCCCTCATTTGGAAAGATAAAAGCTATCTCCTTTATAAAAGAGTTTGTGAATTGAACAGATGGAAGATACTTATTTTACAAATGAATAATCAGGGGCCAAGCAGGCATACTTGGAGCACAGGGCTCTGGAAGATAAAGCTTGAAAGTCTCAATGACTTCTTGGTGGAGTAGAGGCCTGGTGGGTATGGTCTTCCTCCTTTTTGGCCCTTTTCTAAATGGACTCTTTCCTTTGTTCCCACTGATTTGTCAGCACTCCTCACTACCCATATAACATTGAGAACTAGTTAACTGGGGATTTTGAGTCTTTGAAATCCTTGTGTGGCTCAAATGGTTAAGCACTTGATTATTAACTGAAGGGTTTGGAATTTGAACCCACCCAGAGACACCTCAGAAGAAAGGCCTGGTGAACTTCTTTTGAAAGGTAACAGCCTTGAAAACCCTGTGGAGCCGTTAGACTGTGACACACATAGAGATGCTATGAGTTGGAATCAACTTGATGACAACTAGTTAGCCAGTTTTTTTTTTTTTTTTTTGACAATTTTCCCCAAGCATGCTATATAAGCTGCCCCCATCTCCAGCCTCTATCTTCTCACTTGGGGTTAGAGATGAGGGGAGGGAAAAGCTTATTTTTTTTTTCCTCCATTAAATAAAGTATGCAGAAGAGTGGCTGGGTGCGAGTGGAGTGAGGGTCCTATGCTCATCAAGGAAGTAAGTTTGGGAAATAAAGACCTAAAAGTCATGTTAAAAAGTTCTGAGCAGCAGTGTCTTTAGATCTGGGCATGGGTGGCCCCTGCCCTGGGCTCCATGCCTTATAGATTGCTCTGCTCTGACTATACCCCTCCCCCTAGAGTGAAGAGATGATGGGGCCAAGGGGATGTGGCCCAGAGTCAAGGTCCCCCATTCTAAACCATTTATCCAGGATCCCAGAATTCCCTGCCCAAATGGTGCAAGCCTACTTCCAATGTCTGTGAGATCTCTTTTCTCAGCCAAGTCTTCCTGTGCCAAAGGCTGGCTAAGGAGTGGCTCTTTGGGGGGAGGTTGTGGAGAGAATTTGGATGTGCTGGCTGGGGTGTCCAAATTGTCCACAGATGTACATGTGAGTCTGGCCTTCCATCTTGAGTCCTTCAAGGACCTGAAAGGAGACATGCTGGTGGAGCCAGGAGCCAGGAGCACTTGGTGAGCAGAATTTACCCAGTTTGAACTCAGGAGTAGAAGAACCCTTGTGACCTCTGTGCCCAAGAGGTGGCTGGACAGTGGACATAGGGGAGGGAGATTGGTAGCTGAGCAGTTGATCTTGAGCAGGCATGCAAGAGGCTTCTCCAATAAAGGTAAAGCAAATGTGGGTGTTTTTCCTGTGAATTTCTCAAGTTATTGGAAGAGGAGGCTGAGAGAGTCAGCCTGGGGGAGCCAGCAAGCCAAGGAGAAATCCTTTTCCCTTCCCAGCTTCCACCTGGCCCACCAGTTGTCACCACATCTCTTCACAACCAGCCATGGTCTTGGGCAGAAAGTGAAGTTAATTTTAAATTTGTGCTGTTTATTAACTTGGTGTCTTTATACATATTTTTCAATTTTGTCAATATGAAGTCATATTTATCAGCTTAGGAAGACTGAATATATTTTATTTCACAACTTGTTAGTTTGATTTAAAACTTTATAATATATAGACATATGGTGGGTGAGTCTCTATTTGTTCTTTTGCTCTGGGTGACATTGATGTTAAGGATGAGCCTGCCCATGACTCTAGAGAAATGAACAAACATCCCTTGCAGCTGCATAGTCCAATATGGGAACCATGGCTCTTTACATTGAAATGTAAATTAATTAAAAGGAATTAATTTGGGTGGTGCAAATAGTTAACTGCTCAACTATTAACCGAAAGGTTGGTGATTCGAACCTACCAAGGGGCACCTTGGAAGTAAAATCTATCTGGTGATTTGCTTCTGAAAGGTCACAGCCACTGAAAACACTACGGAGCACAGTTTTACTCTGAAGCACATGGGTTTCCATGAAGAAACCTGTTATGTTATATTTAAAAGTAAATAAAACTAAAAATTCAATTTCTCAGTTGGGTATTACAAATGCTTAATGACTGCATAGTTTTATAACTGTAGGATAGATATAAAATGTTTCCATCAGTGCAGAAAATTCTTTTGGACAGTCCTGCTCTGGAATACAGAAGAGCCTTTTAGTCAACTCATGGCTGTTCACATGGATGTTTGTGTTCTCATTTCATGTCTGTGTAAGAAAAATGAGGAACAACCTGCATTCATCTCATTTCCCCCTCCTTCTCTTCCTCCAACAGCTGCCAAAGATCTGGTGAGCCACTTGCTGGTGGTAGACCCCAAAAAGCGTTACACGGCCCACCAGGTTCTACAGCACCCCTGGATTGAAGCTGTTGGAAAGACCAACACAGCAAACCTGCAGAAGGAGGTGTCCGTTAGCAGTGAGGGCCACTTCCGGACCCAGCACAAGAGGGCTGCAGAGGAGCCATTGTAGTCACCACCTCGGGCATCTGTCCAGCTTCCTGGTCTGCTCAAGGACATCAAAAAGCACAGAAGGTGGAGCAAGAATCAAAGAAAGGGGCTTCTTGAGATAATCAGAGAATTGGTACTAAGAGGGGCACTCAGTATATTTTAACCAATATTTAAAACATTAAACTGAATCTTAATGTTGAGAAATGTGTAACATATTTTTAGATTTGTATATATATTTGAAGCCTTAAATACTTTTTTTGGGGGGGAGGATTGTCATCAGTGAGGAATTTTTGGTGATAATGATATTTTGCTTCTTCCTTGTTATCAGGTTCACAGTGCACTACATGAGTGGTGCTTACCAGGCTCTAAATTCCCTTTGTGAGATTAAAAAGGTGAATTGTGATCTTTCTGTGTTAATAAAATGTGCTCTGAATGACTGAAGTGGGTCTGTATTCTGATTACTTCTTACCATGCTGATGATAAGAGCTGGGGAACTAAAGTGCAGACACATCTCCTGAAACCAACATGACTGCATGTAACTACCATGATGGAAGCTTGATTGATCAAGATCTATTCACTTAGAATGAACTGAACTGGATAATAAGAAACAGTTGGTTTTGGTCTCTAGCATTTTGGCCTTTCTGAGAACTGGATGTGGTGGCTGTCTGAAAAAATGGAAAGAGGAAATCATGGAATCTTTCTTCAATATCCACTTATTATTATGGCTGCTTTTCAACCCAGTTATCCCTGATCCCCAGTGACTTCTACGTGATGTTAGACACTCAGATTGTAACCGTATTAAGGCTTTCAGATTACAGGGCAGCCATCTAGTGCACTAATGGGTCAGAAATGCATTAACTGCATTAGGTGGCCCTACAAGGGGCTCATATTCCCACCTGCAGGGCTTCCACAGAGAGAGCACAGAACACTTGTTCACAGATTATTTCATTCCTGATTTCTATACCAAGATGTTGAGTTTTCAGATGCCTCTGGAAGTATATGTGAACTGAAAGCCAAGCTAATCACCTGATATTTCCTAAATGGACCTCTTCAGATTATGTGTGATCAGTAGGGTACAGAATTAGTCAAAGTGTGGACTTTTCACCCGAACTTACCTCCCTTAGTGTTAGAGTCATCTGGGTTGAGAAGTTTATCATCCAGTGTCCAGTCAGGAAGGCAGGGCAGCACTAGAGGGTTCAGTATAAGGAATTGCTTAAACAGGAGTTAGAGAATGGACAAAGTAATTTAGAGATAGTAACTGTCAGAAGTGACTTCCACTCCTAGGTGGGAGAACTAAGGGAAGAGGTTGGGATTGTTAGAACCTAGATGTTTTGGGGGAGAAATCCACTGTAGTGGCTGCTGTGATGTGCCACAAAGCTCTTCCTTTAACACCGAAGGGAGTAAGCTGCTAGAGTACTGCTGGCTTCACTGTCACTCTTCTCTAGGAATTGCCCTTATCTGGGAAGAGTCAGCTTGCCCAAGAGCACACCTCCTCCTGGGGCAGGTTGCATCCATGTAGGCATAAAGTCCTGGTGCTCCTTTGCCCCAAATGGGGATGATGCTGCAGGGCTATCCCAGCCTTACGGCTCCTTGTGGGAGTGGCAGAGCCTTGACTGGCTGTGTCAGAGCCCAGCTTCTTCCTTGTCCAATCTTATTTCTTTCCCTTCTCTTCCAGAAGTGGTGATTGGGAGACTACTCTCTAATAAACCTTCTGCACACTAATCTCCATCTCATATTTGGCTTCCCAAGGAACCAGACCTGTGATACTCCTGAGAAACTTGAAATTGCTACAAAGAGGTACCAGTTGGTGCTTTACCTCCGGAGCTTATAAAAAGGGCCCCGTGAAGCTGAGGCAGACCCTTGAGGGCCTGAGGGTGGTGCATTTCCACATGTTGAAAATGTGGAAAGAGGCTGGAAGCTGGAACTAAGTGCTGCTGGAAATTCTCTTGATAAAGTTGCCAGTGACCTCCATGTCACTAAATCCAATAGACCATTTTTGATCAGCATCTTAGCATCATTTGACCCTACTGATGAATGGTTCTTGAGTCATTTCTCTTGTTGACTTCTCTGACTCCATACTTTCCTGGTTTCCCCTGGATCCCTATCTATGCCTTCAGGTCTCTTGTATAGGTTCAATTTTCTTCAAGTTGCTAAAAGTTGTAGTTCCATCATTAAAAAAAAAAAACAACCAGTTGCCATTGAGTCTGTTCCCACTCATAGTGACCCCATATGTGCCAGGGTAGCACTGTGCACCATAGTTTAATGGATGATATTTTGAAAGTACATCACCAGGCTTTTCTTCTGAGGACTTGAACCTCCAGCCTTTTGGTTAGCAGCCAAGTGCATTAACTGTTTGTACCAGCAGAAGATGAACACTAAAACCACAGTGAGATACTATTACACATCTAGAGCATAGTGGCTGAGACACTTGCCTGCTAACCAAATGGCTGGTGGTTCAAACCCACCAGCCACTCCTCGGAAGGAAGGTTGGGCAATCCTACGTCCGTAGTGATACTGCCTCGGAAACCCAAGGAGGGGTCGCTATGAGTCGGGGCCGACTCGACGGCACATAACAACAACAACAACAAAGTTAAATGGCTAAAATTTAAAGACTGGTCATGCCAAACATCAGTGAGGGTGTGGAGCAACTTGACATTGGCACATTTCTGGTGAGAATGTGAAATGGTAAAATCCCTTTGGAAAACAGTTTGGCAATTTTTTCAAAGTTAAAACATATTCTTACCATGTGGTCCAGTCATTCCACTCCTAGATACTTGCCCAGGATAAATTAAAGCATCTGTGCAAACAAAGACTTATATATAAATATTCATAGGTCCTTTATTTGTAGTATCCCCAAAGTGGATACAACCTGAATTTTCATAAATTGGTGAATGGAAAAACAAATTGTGGTATATCCATACAATGAATACCATTCAGCAAGAAAAAGGACTTGATTCTTAATACAGGAACAACATGAATGAAATTCAATTATAATGAAAGAAGCCTGACTCCCCAAAAAGACTACATACTGCTGGATGATTCCTTTTTTTTTTTTTTTTTTTTTTTCTTCTTTCTTTTTTTCTTTCTTTTTTTTTTTTTGGGTGAAGATATACAGAGCAAATTCACTTTCCATACAGCAGTTCACATATACTTTGTCTCATGTCATTGACCACAGTTTACACAATGCAACAGCTTCCCTCCCACTTCCTCCCCATAGTTCCAATTCCCAGTGTCCATCCCTCCATACTCTCCTGCCCCCTGAGCTGTCTCCCTGTGCATAACCAG